GCCGCCCGCGCTCACCTGCAGGAAGGGCACGAAGTCTTCGGGCACCAGGTAGTTGCAGCCGGGGCCCATGAGCAGGTGCACGAACCTGGCCGCGTCGTCGTGACAGGTGTGGAGGATCCTAGAAGGGACGGACGGACGGACGGACGGCCTGAGCCGGGTGCATGGTGGGAAGCTGGGGGGACCCCCCCCCCCCCCCCCCCCGCACAGGCACTCACGTACTTCCTCCAGACGGCCACGAACTTGTGCACGGACACGGAGCCCGCGCGGTCCCCGCCGGCCGCGTAGAACAGCGGGGCTTTCCAGTACAGCGGGCAGCCGCAGGCCTGGGGCCGGGGGGACACGGCGGTCACGGGGCGCCCCGAAAACGCCCTCCCGTGTGTGAGCCGTGGGGGGATCCCCGAGAACGCCCTCCTGTGTGGCTGAGCCGTGGGGGCACCCCGAAACCGTCTTTCTGTGTCTCTGAGCCGTGGGGGGATCCCCGAAACTGTCTTTGTGTGTCTCTGAGCCATGGGGGGACCCCCGAAACCATCTTTCTTTGTCTATGAGCCGTGGGGGGACCCCAAAACTGTCTTTCTGTGTCTCTGAGCCATGGGGGGATCCCCGAAACTGTCTTTGTGTGTGTCTCTGAGCCATGGGGGGACCCCCGAAACCATCTTTCTTTGTCTATGAGCCGTGGGGGGACCCCAAAACTGTCTTTCTGTGTCTCTGAGCCATGGGGGGATCCCCGAAACTGTCTTTGTGTGTCTCTGAGCCATGGGGGGATCCCCAAAACTGCCCTCCCAAGTCTCTGAGCCATGGGGGGGCACCCCGAAACCGTGTTTGTGTGTGTCTGAGCCATGGGGGGGACCCCGAAACTGTCTTTGTGTGTGTGTCTGAGCCATGGGGGGATCCCCGAAACCGTCTTTCTGTCTCTCTGAGCCGTGGGGGATCCCTGAAACCGTCTTTCTGTGTGTCTAAGCCATGGGGGGACCCCGAAACCGTCTTTGTGTATCTCTGAGCCATGGGGGGACCCCGAAACTGTCTCTGTGTGTCTCTGAGCCATGGGGGGACCCCGAAAATGTCTTTGTGTGTCTCTGAGCCATGGGGGGACCCCGAAACTGTCTGTGTCTCTGAGCCATGGGGGGATCCCCAAAATCATGTTTGTGTGTGTCTGAGCCGTGGGGGGACCCCGAAACCGTCTTCCTGTGTGTCTGAGCCATGGGGGGACCCTGAAACCGTCTTCCTGTGTGTCTGAGCCGTGGGGGGACCCCGAAACCGTCTTCCTGTGTGTCTGAGCCGTGGGGGCGCCCCGACTCCGCCCAGGCGCCCACCTTGGCCACGGCGCCCATGTCCCGGGCCGTGGCCCTCTCCTGGGGCAGGCGGGCGAAGGCGGCCTCCACGCGGGCGATGCCGGCGTCCACGTCCCCGGCCCGCGGCGGCGGCCGGCCCAGCGGGAAGTGGAAGCTGGGGATCCTGCGGCTGCCGGCGGGCGGCGGCGGGCTCGGGGGGGCCGCCCGGCGGCTCTGCGCCTGCGGAGGAAGGTTCCGGAAGGAGGAGCGGTGAGCGCGGGTCACCCCCGACCCCCCCGTCCGTGGCTCCATCCCTCCCCCAGACCACGGGCCGGACGGACGGACGGACAGGGCCGGGAGAGGTGGAAGGTCCAGGGGGGAAACCGAGGCACGGGGGGGGGGGGGGGGGGAGCCCAGGACGGCGTGGGAGGTGGGCAGGCCCAGACGCACGGACACAGACAGACAGACAGACGACAGGCAGACAGACAGACACAGAGAGACAGACAGACACAGACAGACAGACACAGACAGACAGACAGACACAGACAGACAGACACAGACAGACACAGACAGACAGACAGACACAGACAGACAGACACAGACAGACACAGACAGACAGACAGACACAGACAGACAGAAACAGACAGTCAGACATGGACAGACGGACAGACAGACAGACGGACACACAGATGGACAGACGGATGGACGGACGGACATGGACAGACAGACGGACACAGAGGGAGGGACAGACGGACAGACAGATGGACACGGACGGACGGACACACAGACAGACAGAGGCAGGGACAGATGGATGGATGGACAGACACACAGACAGACCGAGACCCACAGACAGATACAGACAGAGAGACACATGGACAAAGGGATCCAGACAGACAGACACAAAGACAAACGCAGACAGACAGACAGACAGAGACACACAGACAGACCCAGACAGACAGACGGACAGGCCCACTGCGACCTGGACAGACAGACGGACAGGCCCACTGCGACCTGGACAGACGGACAGACAGGCCCACTGTGACCTGGACAGACGGACAGACAGGCCCACTGTGACCTGGACAGACGGACAGACAGGCCCACTGTGACCTGGACAGACGGACAGACAGGCCCACTGTGGTGTGGACAGACAGACGGACAGGCCCACTGAGGCCTGGACAGACAGACGGACAGGCCCACTGCGGCCTGGACAGACAGACAGACAGGCCCACTGCGAGCTGGACAGACAGACGGACAGGCCCACTGCAACGTGGACACACGGACGGAGACAGACAGTCCCACTGTGGTGTGGACAGATGGACAGGCCCACTGTGGTGTGGACAGACAGACGGACAGGCCCACTGCGACCTGGACAGACAGACGGACGGACAGGCCCACTGCGACCTGGACAGACAGACAGACGGACAGGCCCACTGCGACCTGGACAGACAGACAGGCCCACTGCGGCCTGGACAGACAGACGGACAGGCCCACTGCGACCTGGACAGACGGATGGACAGGCCCACTGCGACCTGGACAGACAGACAGACAGGCCCACTGCGAGCTGGACAGACAGACGGACAGGCCCACTGCAACGTGGACAGACAGACGGACAGGCCCACTGCGACCTGGACAGACAGACAGACAGGCCCACTGTGACCTGGACAGACAGACGGACAGGCCCACTGCGGCCTGGACAGACGGACAGACAGGCCCACTGTGGTGTGGACAGACAGACGGACAGGCCCACTGAGGCCTGGACGGACAGACGGACAGGCCCACTGTGACCTGGACAGACAGACGGACAGGCCCACTGCGGCCTGGACAGACAGACAGACAGACAGGCCCACTGTGACCTGGACAGACAGACAGACAGGCCCACTGCGGCCTGGACAGACGGACAGACAGGCCCACTGTGACCTGGACAGACAGACGGACAGGCCCACTGTGACCTGGACACACGGACGGAGACAGACAGGCCCACTGTGGTGTGGACAGACAGACGGACAGGCCCACTGCGACCTGGACAGACAGACGGATGGACAGGCCCACTGCGACCTGGACAGACAGACAGACGGACAGGCCCACTGCGGCCTGGACAGACAGACGGACAGACAGACAGAGAATCACACAGGCAGACACACAGACACACGGACACACAGACATACATACACACGGACACCGTGGGGAAAGAGGAGGAGGAGGTGCAGGGTGGACAGACAGACGGACGGACAGGCCCGCTGCGGCCTGGACACACAGATGGACAGACGGGCCCACTGCGGGGTGGACACACAGACGGACACACACACAGACAGACAGACAGACACAGACACACGGACACACACACAGACAGACACACAGACACACACACAGACACACAGACATACAGACACACAGACAGACACACAGACATACAGACACACGGACACCATGGGAGAAGAGGAGGAGGAGGTGCGGGGTGGACAGACAGACAGACGGACAGGCTCACTACAGGGTGGACAGACCGACGGACAGGCCTGCTGGGGGAGGGGGGGGTGGGCACCGGAATCGCCCCGAGCACAGAGCAGGCCAGCGCCGGCCGGAGGGTTGCACAGCGCCGGCCGGGCCGGAGGGAGGCAGGGACGGACGGACGGACGGACGGACGCACCCACCTGCTGCGCGGCCCGCAGCCGCCTCCTGACGCGCGAGGGCAGCACCAGGTCGCCGCCCCGGGCCAGCAGGGCCAGCTCCCCGCGCAGGTCGGGGGCCGCGGCCCGCCACGACCCCCGACCCCCGACCCCGGCGGCCGGCCTGGGCTCGGCCTGCGGCGGCGGCCGGAGCCACCGAGGCCTGGCCGGGTCCATAGGCCGCAGGGAGGAGGAGGAGGAGGGGCCGTCCGTCCGTCCGTCCGTCCGTCCACCCCCGCCCCCGGCACGCCCCGGCCCAGGACGGATTTAGCTCGCAGCTGCTGCCGCAGGCCGGGCCGGCCGGGGGGAGGGACAGACGGACGGGGGGGGGGGGAGGGGGGCGGACGGGGGGGACGCCGGGGACACACGCACACACCCCGGACAGACGGACGGATGGACAGGCGGACGGACGGGCGGGCGGACGGGCGGACGGGCGGACGGGCGGACGGGCGGACGGACGGACGGACGGACGGACGGGCGGACGGGCGGACGGACGGACGGGCGGGCGGACGGACGGACGGACAGATGGACGGACAGATGGACGGACGGACACACGGGCGGACGGGTGGACGGACGGACAGATGGACGGACGGGCGGACAGACGGACGGGCGGACGGACGGACAGGCGGACAGACAGACGGGCGGACGGACGGACGGGCGGACGGACAGATGGACGGACGGACGGACGGACGGACAGACGGGCGGACGGACGGACGGACGGACGGACAGCGGCCACAGGCCCGGGCGGAACCAACAACGCCACAGACAGACAGACAGCGTCCGTGTGTCCTGCATCCGTGTGTCCTGTGTCTGTGTGTACTGTGTCCGTCTGTCCTGTGTCTGTCTGTCCTGTGTCCGTGTGTCCTGTATCTGTCTGTCCTGTGTCCGTGTGTCCTGTGTCTGTCTGTCCTGCGTCCGTGTGTCCTGCGTCCGTGTGTCCTGTGTCCGTCTGTCCTGTGTCCGTGTGTCCTGTGTCTGTCTGTCCTGTGTCTGTCTGTCCTGTGTCTGTGTGTCCTGTGTCCGTCTGTCCTGTCTGTCTGTCCTGTGTCTGTCTGTCCTGTGTCCGTGTGTCCTGTGTCTGTGTGTCCTGTGTCTGTGTGTCCTGTGTCTGTGTGTCCTGTGTCCGTGTGTCCTGTGTCTGTCTGTCCTGTGTCCGTGTGTCCTGTGTCTGTGTGTCCTGTGTCTGTGTGTCCTGCGTCTGTGTGTCCTGCGTCCGTGTGTCCTGTGTCCGTGTGTCCTGCGTCCGTGTGTCCTGTGTCCGTCTGTCCTGTGTCTGTGTGTCCTGTGTCTGTCTGTCCTGTGTCTGTCTGTCCTGCGTCCGTGTGTCCTGTGTCTGTGTGTCCTTTGTCTGTCTGTCCTGTGTCCGTGTGTCCTGTGTCCGTGTGTCCTGTGTCTGTCTGTCCTGTGTCTGTCTGTCCTGTGTCTGTCTGTCCTGTGTCTGTGTGTCCTGTGTCCGTGTGTCCTGCGTCTGTCTGTCCTGCGTCCGTGTGTCCTGCGTCCGTGTGTCCTGTGTCTGTCTGTCCTGTGTCTGTCTGTCCTGTGTCTGTGTGTCCTGTGTCCGTGTGTCCTGTGTCCGTGTGTCCTGTGTCTGTCTGTCCTGTGTCTGTGTGTCCTGTGTGTGTGTGTCCTGTGTCTGTGTCCTGTGTCTGTCTGTCCTGTGTCCGTGTGTCCTGTGTCCGTGTGTCCTGTGTCCGTGTGTCCTGTGTCCGTGTGTCCTGTGTCTGTCTGTCCTGTGTCCGTGTGTCCTGTGTCTGTCTGTCCTGTGTCTGTCTGTCCTGTGTCTGTGTGTCCTGTGTCCGTGTGTCCTGTGTCTGTCTGTCCTGTGTCTGTCTGTCCTGTGTCTGTCTGTCCTCTGTCTCTCCGTCAGTGTGTCCTCCGTCTCTCCGTCTGTCCGTCAGTCTGTCCTCTGTCTCTACATCTGTCTGTCCTCCGTCTCTCTGTCTGTCCTCCGTCTCTCCGTCTGTCTGTCCTCCGTCTCTCCGTCTGTCTGTCCTCCGTCTGTCCGTCTGTCTGTCCTCCGTCTCTCCGTCTGTCCATCCTCTGTCTCTCCATCTGTCCGTCTATCTCTCCGTGTCTCGGTCTGTCTGTCCATCTGTCCGTCCTCCGTCTCTAGTCCTCCCTTCCCCGTCCTCATCCGTGATCCCTCCCCGTCACCCCGGAAGGTTCCGCTGAACGCGCGCCGCCGACCCCCGCTCGGCGAGCTGGGGGGGGCGGTGGAGGGTCAGAGGTCGCCGACCCTTCACCCCGGGTGGACAGGGATCAGGAGGAGGAGGGATCAGGAGCAGGAGGGATCAGGGTTCAGGGGTCACGGGGATCAGGAGTCGGGGTCACGGGGTCAGGGGTAACAGGGGTCAGGGGTCACGGGGGTCACAGGGGTTAGGGGTCACGGGGGGTCAGGGATCATGATGGTTACAGGGGTTAGGGGTCACGGGGTCAGGGGTCACAGGGTCACGGTGTCAGGGTTCATAGGGGTCACGGGGTCAGGGGGTCATGGTGGTCAGGGGTCATGGCTGTCACAGGGGTCAGGGGTCACGGGGTCAGGGGTCACAGGGTCACGGGTGCTCGGGGTCACAGGGGTCACGGGGTCAGGAGGAGGAGGGTTCAGGGATCAGGAGGAGGGCTCAGCGGTCAGGGTCACGGGGGTCCCGGGGTCAGGGGTCATGGGGTCACAGGGGTCAGGGGTCATGAAATCAGGGGTCACGGGGGTCACGGGGGTGAGGGGTCAGGGGGGTCAGGGGTCTCAGGGATCACGGGGTCAGGGGTCACGGGGTCAGGGGTCACGAAATCGGGGGTCACGGGGGTCAGGGGTCACGGGGGTCAGGGGTCTCAGGGATCACGGGGTCAGGGGTCACGGGGGTCAGGGGTCATGGGGACACAGGGGTCAGGGGTCACGAAATCAGGGGTCACGGGGGTCACGGGGGTCAGGGGTCACGGGGGTCAGGGGTCTCAGGGTTCACGGGGTCAGGGGTCACGCCGATCCCCCCCCCCCCCTCCCCTCCCCAAAGCGCCTCACTTACGCCTGGAGGCCGCGCCGAGGGCGGCGGGCTGCGCACTGCGCAGGCGCGGGCGGCGGGAGCCGGGCTGGGACGCAGCGCGCAGGCGCGGGCGGGCGCGGGCGGGGGCGCCGCGCAGGCGCAGTGGGCCGGCGCCGCGCTGGGAGGCCCCGCGCAGGCGCAGTGAGCGGGCGCCGCGGCGCTGGGAGGCCCCGCGCAGGCGCAGTGGGCCGGCGCCGCGCTGGGAGGCCCCGCGCAGGCGCAGTGGGCCGGCGCCGCGCTGGGAGGCCCCGCGCAGGCGCAGTGGGCCGCCGCGGCGGGCCCCGGCTCCGCGCATGCGCGCACGCGGCGCAGGCCCCGGCGCAGCAGGCGCTGCGTGTCGGGCTCGCTCAGCCAGCGCAGGAACAGCTCGTCCACCTTGCGCCGCAGCGCGGGCCTCAGCGCCATGACGTCAGCGCGCCCGCACGCGCCCGCACGCGCCCACACGCCGCCCGCGGCGCGCCCCGACCGCGTCACAGCCCGCCGCGGCCAATCCCCGGCGCGCCGCGGCGTCGCCAGCCCCCCGCGTCACTCCCCGGCGCCGCCGAGCGGGCCGCGGCGCATGCGCAGCACACGAGAGCACACGGGGAGGGGCGCGGGAGAGGGCTGCGCATGCGCGCTGCGGGCCGTGGCGCATGCGCAGAACGTAGGAGGAGATAGGAGTGAAGTAGACGGTGGCGCGTACGCCGTACGGGCCCTCGCGCATGCGCAGAAGGCTGAACGAGCTACGGGCCGGCGAGCACGATTGCGCATGCGCGTTGCGGGCCGTGGCGCATGCGCACAACACTGGAGGAGACAGGGACGGGGGAGGACGGTTACGCGTGCGCCGTACGGGCCCGCGCGCATGCGCAGAAGGCTGAACGACCTAGGGGCCGGCGAGCAGGGTTGCGCATGCGCCCTGCGGGCCGTGGCGCATGCGCAGAAGGCTGAACGAGCTAGGGACGGGGGAGCACCGTTGCGCATGCGCCGAGCGAGTCGTGGCGCATGCGCAGAACACAAAAGGACACGGGGGGCGCAGGGGAGGGTTGCGCATGCGTCCAGGGGGCCGTGGCGCATGCGCAGAACACTGTAGGAGACAGGGACGGGGAGGACGGTGACGCATGCGCCGTACGGGCCGTGGCGCATGCGCAGAAGGCTGAACGAGCTAGGAGCGGGGGAGCAGAGGTGCGCATGCGCCCTGTCGGCCGTGGCGCATGCGCAGAACACGAAAGGACACAGGGACGCAGGGGAGGGTTGCGCATGCGCGGTGCGGGCCGGGGCGCATGCGCAGAAGGCTAGAGGACACGGGGGGGGGAGAGAGCAGGGCTGCGCATGCGCGGCGGGGAATGCTCCGTCAGGAGGGGGCGGGGCCGGGGTGGCGCATGCGCAGTGGCGTCTGTGTGAGGCCACGCCCCCGCGCTGTGTGAGGCCACGCCCCCGCGCTGTGTGTGTGAGGCCACGCCCCCGCGCTGTGTGTGAGGCCACGCCCCCGCGCGCTGTGTGTGTGAGGCCACGCCCCCGCGCGCTGTGTGAGGCCACGCCCCCGCGCTGTGTGAGGCCACGCCCCCCCGCGCTGTGTGTGTGAGGCCACGCCCCCGCGCGCTGTGCGAGGCCACGCCCCCGCGCTGTGTGTGTGAGGCCACGCCCCCGCGCTGTGTGTGTGAGGCCACGCCCCCCGCGCTGTGTGAGGCCACGCCCCCGCGCGCTGTGCGAGGCCACGCCCCCGCGCTGTGTGTGTGAGGCCACGCCCCCGCGCTGTGTGTGTGAGGCCACGCCCCCGCGCTGTGTGAGGCCACGCCCCCGCGCTGTGTGAGGCCACGCCCCCGCGCGCTGTGTGTGTGAGGCCACGCCCCCGCGCTGTGTGTGTGAGGCCACGCCCCCGCGCTGTGTGTGTGAGGCCACGCCCCCGCGCTGTGTGTGAGGCCACGCCCCCGCGCGCTGTGTGAGGCCACGCCCCCGCGCGCTGTGTGAGGCCACGCCCCCGCGCTGTGTGTGTGTGAGGCCACGCCCCCGCGCTGTGTGTGTGAGGCCACGCCCCCGCGCTGTGTGTGAGGCCACGCCCCCGCGCTGTGTGTGTGAGGCCACGCCCCCGCGCTGTGTGAGGCCACGCCCCCGCGCTGTGTGTGTGAGGCCACGCCCCCGCGCTGTGTGAGGCCACGCCCCCGC